CTCTATAGACCAGGCTGGTCTCAAACTCACAGAGATCCGCCTGCCTCTGCCTCCCAAGTGCTGGAATTAAAGGCGTGCACCACCAACGCCCAGCTTGACTCTTGAGACTTTAAAAGAACTACTTACTAATAAAACGTTTTAAAACGTGGCACTCTTGGGGGTTTGTTCATGACTACCTCCAGGGCACCCCCGCCCATCCACGGTCCCTGCACCATCATTTGAGGGTCAAGGCTGCTCCGCCCACCGACTTCTTAGATCAGAGGACAGCTGGAGCCTCATGGCCATGTCCATCCTGGTTTTTTTTTTTTTTTTTTTTTTGCCAACTTGGCACAAGCTAGGAGAGGGAAGCTCTGAGTCACCTGGGAAGTTTCCTCCATCAGTTGGGCCTGTAGGCAAGGCTGTAGAGCATTTTCTTCACTAATGCTATGGAAGAGCCCAGGCCTGTGAGCAGTGTCACCTCTGGGCAGGAGGTCCTGGGTCATAGAAGAAAGGAGGCTGAGCAAGCCATGGGGAGCAAGCCGGTAAGCAGTGTTTCGCTATGGCCTTGCATCAACTCCTGCCTCTGGTTCCTGTCCTGGTATCCCTCAGTGACGGAGTGGGACCTGAGAGCTGTAAGATGAAATAAACCCGGTCCTCCCAGATTGGATTTGGTCATGGTGTTTGTACAGTAGCAGCACACTGGGAGTCCCTGCCCTCGTCTACTGAGCCCCACACTCCCTCCAAGGTCCCCCTAAGGTCACTTGCTTGGGGATCCTCGCGTGACCTCTGGGGAGGGCAGCAGGTGGGGAGGGCAGCAGGTGGGGGTAGCAGCATTCCCCACGCAGGGTACACCCGCCCCTCCTCACAGTAGCGTTAGGCAGAGTCCATCTGGGAGGGTCCTGCTCTGCACCCACACCTGGTGAAGGTCTCCAGCCTGGCCAGGCATGGCCCCTGGATCCCCCTCTCAGGAAGAAGGCAAAGCTGGAAGTTGTGTGGTAGCTTGGGTCCGGGGGACTTTTTTGGCACAGAGAGACCTACTTTCTAAACTTGGCCACATCCCTAGCTCCCCGCACTGTCAGCCAGATGCCTGGTGTGATACCCCCAACGGGGTTACACTGCAGCCCCTCACTGACATAGCCCAGGAGACACTAGGCTCTGAGAGATCTGGTCCGTGCCATTCCAACCCCAGAAACCGCAAGGGCCCCCTGCACTTGTTGAGTAACCTACTGAACTCCACAATGTGGAGGATGGGGTGAGGGGTTGTGGGTGCTCACACATGTGCCTAGAACTGGGCATTCATCCCATCCTGGGCCTCGGCCTTCATCTTCTCCACAATAGCTGTCACACAGCCTTGAACTCAGAACCTGATGTTCCTCCTCAGAACACCGTCGACTCCCGTCTTGCTGAGGCTGAGACACTCTTGTCTGGCACTGTTTAGGAGCTGAGGGAAAGGATGGCAACAATAAAAGGCAGGGCTTGAGGTGGCTCACAAAGCCCAGAATATTCACTCCCTGCCCTTGCATGGGAAAGGGTGGAAGCCCCTTGGTCCACATGCCCAGCTTTCTACAAAAATATTACCTGATGTCCCAAAAGTGACACTCTGCAGAGACAAGCGTGAGGATCAGATGCGACATGGATTTGGGAAACCACCAGAAGGCTAAAGAAGCAGACATGCTTGTTGTAAGCGGTAATGGAAGACAGTAAACATGGCAGCACAGGAAACTCCAGCAGAGAGGAAAACCACAGTGACACGATGGGCTTGCCGGCAAACAAAACAGTGGACACGGTGGCAGGCAGGCTGTGTGTGGACAGACGCAGAGAGAGCATGGAAGATGGCAGGAGGCTGGGAGCTGTCGGGCAGGAAATAAGACAGAGAGCCCAGGGAAGGAGAATGGGAGAGAACCTCCGCAAGCCTGTTAAGACCCTGAACATGGGAAGAACACGGGGCCGGGTGGAGTCGCCGCACACCCAGGTGCATCCGACCAGACACAGCTGGGGAACCAGCCAAGGGAAGAGGCCCACCGCCTGCAGGAGCCAAGGTGAAGACCCGGACACCTCTTCCTAGAAGCCACCTCTCCCCAGATGGCCAAAGATGAGGGGGGACAGGAGAATGACGGAAACACTACAGCTCAACAAAAGACCTTACCAAAGCAGGGGACCCAGCTCTATAGATACACAAAACGCAGAGGAAACTTAAAAGTAGGGTTCTTGGAATCTCAGAGCTGCGAGAGGTGGAGATGGGAACCCCTGGGACTCCACAGGCAGCCAGCCAACCTGCTTAGTGAGCTTCAGATTTGGGAAGGACCCTGTCTCAAAGCTAAGGTGGAAAGTGACCGAGGAAGTCACCCAAAGTTGATCTGTGGTCTACAGGCATGCACACATGCATGCGTATATGTATGTGCACTCGAATGTGCACACATACACATGCAAGCACACACCTGTGCACACTTGGACCCACACACATGCAAACCTTCTCTCAGCAGTGAAAAGTGAGGAAACAAGATTGTTGCGTTGAACCAGCACGGCTGTCTGCACAGGATATTCCTAAGAGCCAAAATGCTTCTAGAGTGAAGTAGGCAGCGCGCCACCAGGTCATTAGAAATTGTTGTTTTTCTTTTTTAATTGTTGCTGCCTTTTAAGCTGTGGCTGTCCCATTCAGCAACTGCAGCTCCACCACTACTGGTAGTGGCTAGACTGTAAGAGCCCAAGCCTGAGGAAACTCTGTTCCCTCAGGCAACGACTCTTTCAAAAATACTAAGGAAACTTATTTAAATCTCTGGCCCACTAAATAACTCAAGATTCAAAGGCTGGGGTAGACTCCTGCTTCCCAGAGTGGCCGGACAGCAGGCAGTTCAGCTAGCTCACCCCTCCCGTCTCCCAAGAAGTCCTGGTGCGCCTTCTCGCCCCTCCTTACAAACCCTTCTCCACCTGGCTCCTCCCTAAAACTTCCTGTCAGCTACTTGCTGACCCAGCCTCCTGACTGCAGGTGAATTTTATTTAATCAAACACATCTTTGCATCATTAAACAAATGTTCCAGAGCATAAAAGTAATTAAAATAATATTCTATAACAAGAAGTCACTAGCATCTCCAGTTAGCATGCACAACCAGAATGGAAGTTTAAAAATGCCACTTATGACAGCCCCTTCCAGTAGAACACAACAAACCTAAAAACCCCAATAGGTCCTCCTGTACAGTGGCAGGCTATGAAACACTAAAAACAAAACCAGAGATCAAAGTCAGTGCAGAGATAAGCAGGTGCTCCTGGGTTGGAAGACTTGGTATTGTGGACATATCTTCACATCACAGTGGGGTTTTCCCCCTGAGTATTACATTATTGTATGTGTGTATATGTGTCCGGGTGCCACGTGTGTGCAGATGCCTACAAAGACTGGAAGAAGTCAAATCTTCTGGAGCGCAAGTTGCAGGTGGTAGTGAACCACCCAATGTAGGTTCTGGTAATCGAACTCTGGTCTCCTGCACGAGCAGCAAGTGCCCTTAACCACTGAGTATTCTCCAGCCCCACAGTTGGAGCAGTGCCTTCTATACAGTCCCAGTCAGGATCTTGGAGGGTGTTTTCGGTAGAGAGCAACCAGCTAACCCAAAAATGTATGTAGAAAATAAAGGGGGCTAAGACAGACAGACAGACAGATAGAAAGATAGAAAGAATTAAAAAGAAACAAAATTGGCAGGTTCGCATTGGCTGATCTGAAGATACACACCCAAGCACAGTAGTTAGGGATACGGTATCAGCAAAAGATGATAAAGCAAAATGGGAAGCCCAGAAATGTCCCACACAGATGCACCCAGCTGATTCTAACACATGGAGGAACAGTGCCTGTGTGCAGAACATGAACCTCGGCACACCTCACACCATGTAAGAATGAGCCCAGAATGTGCAGGTGTGTGAAACAACCAAAACATGAGAGAAATCTGCACAGCCTTGAGTTTGGAAGCAACACCTGCCTTAGTCAGCTTCTCCTCGCTGTGACAAAACACCAGAGATGGGACACTTGTAAGGAAGGAAGGCTCACCTTCTCAGAGGGGTCAGTCCATTGGCTTGGTTGAAGCTTTTGGCTGTGTGATACCTCAAACAGGGAGAAGGAGGTCCCAGAGACTCTGGTACACTGAAGCAGCTCTAGTGTGATGACATCATAGCCTCAGAGGGAGGACCATGCCTGTCCAGGAACCCTACTGTGGCTCCAGTGGTATGGATAGAAGTTGAGGGCACTCTCTCAGACTGAACAGGGCTTCAAGGGTAATGGCTGAGAGGTCAAGATCCCAGGACAGGTCACAGGCTGCAGGCCCACGAGGTCCTGGGCAGAGGACCAGTCAGAGGAAAAGTTTATGGGGGGACTGTTATTGCATGTCTGCCCTTGGCCACTCTGCAGGCCTTTTCTGACCCAAACCCATGGCTTATTATTTCAGTTGTGTCCTCAGAGAGGCTTTTACTTCATGTCATTTGTCAACTAGACCACAGAACACCTCCCCTCATGGTCCCAGCTCACCCCCTGCTCAGGAAGCCCAAACAGAATTATGGGGATTTTCCTTATACCCTTTCTTACTTCCACAGTCCCGTTCAGTGACTGGCGGCCCGCACTGACCGCCATCCTTGGCTCTCTGTGGCCTTTGTCCTCGTCTACCTTTACCAATCTTCCCTTCTAAGTCTGTTACCATCACCACCAGGATTCCTGCAATCCAAGCCAGGCTCTTAGGGAAGTAAGTGCTAAGGTTGTGGCTGGATCAATAAGGAGCTGGATGAGGGTTGCATAGGATGGGTGGAAGGATTGACGGATGGATAACTTGATGGGTGGATGAACAGATGGATGATGGATGGGTGGATGGATGGATGGACGGATGGGTGGATGGATGGATGGACAGATAGGTAGCTTGCTGAATGAGTAGATGGATGGACATATGAAAGTAGTCACCAACACCCTCTAGAACTTGGGGTTCTTCCTCCCTATGCCCCCTCATAAGACCCAGGGACGCCTGCAGAAAGAACAGCCAGGCAGACTCAGCTTTTTCTTTTTACAAAGACTTTATTGTCTGACATGCTTGACAAAAAATTACAGCCACAATCAAGTTATGCCAAAATGATTGAGGAGCAGGCCGCCATCTTTCAAATCTTGAGGACTTCCAATGAATTTTCTCTTAAAGATAGCTGCCTCCACAGCTTTTCTTCTCCACATAAAAATATGCCATAATCTGAAGATGCCCTAGGAAAACCTTTTTCTTTAAAGTTTATAGTTCTTGGTCCACATAGAAACTGCAGAGCTGAGACAGCACACAGGAGGTGTGTTTCCTCCGCCCCAAACATGTCATGCATCTGAGGCACAGGAGAGAGACCTTGTAAATGTCACACACACCAAGAACCACTTGGCCCAAGTAAGATTTTTGCAGCCCTGTGGCCTGTGGGGCACCTCTATCCTCTTGGGGATGCAGCTTCACCCACAGTGAGCCTGGCTCATTCACCTGCAGGGAAAGACTGGGGAGTGCGTCTCACAAGATGCTGGGGTTCTGAGCTCAAGGCTCAAAATTCCTTATGGTCTAAGGGACTCTCAACTGAGAATGAACGAGAGCCAGTTTTGAACAGGACCCTTCAAAATTAAAAAGTCTTGGCCCAAGCCTTGCTCTGTAGAGAGAGAATTCTGGTGGTGACGGTGAGGGCTGTGGGGCCAGAGATGAGATCCAAATCTTGTTGCTGTCCCTTTTATGCTGTGTACCCTCAGGCAAGTGCCCTCGTCTCTCTGGCCTCCGTGGTCTCATCTCTATAACAGGGCAAGAGTACCTACCTCCGTTGCAGGAATGACTGTAGATAAATCCAAATTATATGGAATAAAAGGTACCAGGAGAGCTGGTCCCCAAGGCTTGGGTCAGGCTGAGGAAGCAAGGCCCTTATGTCAGATGCATGACATAGAAGTTGTAAAACAGCAAGGGTTAGGACAAATAATAGTATTTTTTGATGTGTTACTAAGAATATGAGTGAGTGCAAAAATAGTCCACAAAGAACAAATATCAGCATTTTAAATAAAGACTACTTCTGACCTTGCCTGCCCCTGACCCGGGGCCTTGCTGGCTCTGTCCCCTGCAGATGGGCTCCCTAGCAGGCCTAACCCAACAAAGGCTGTAGCCCTGGGTGGTGTTGCCATCAGTGCCCAGGGCTGCTCTGCTACTGCGCCACCTCCCGGTGACCAGTGGTACTGACAAGCCCAGCAAACAGTCCTCTGAAGGGAAACTCACATCAAGGAATGGTGGATACTAACTGAACCAGGTTAGATTTGGAGGGGGCGTGTGCCACACACATTGGACATGTACATGACCGGGCACAGAGCCTCAGCCTGTGGAGCCCCCTGGACATTGTGATCTACAGAGTCATGTAGTCCCAGGGGATCTACGATGGCCTCACATAATAAGGAACCAGTAGGTTCTGGCCACCCAGAAGAACCAAGCCCCCCAAATCCAGGCTCCAAGCAGAACTGGGGACACTCGGTCCACGTCAGCAGCAGGTCCTCAGGAAGAAGAGGGACTAAGCCAAGCCAACTGCTGTGGGCCTGACCAGGGGCTGTCGGAATTCCTGAGATGTCTCTGAACACTCCAAGATCCCTGCACACAAGGGGCAGGCCTATCTCCTTGCCTCCAACCCGGGAAGGACTGTCTGTGCCCAGGTCACACGTCCCCCCAGCCGTGGGGCTCACAGCCACACAGATGCACTTGGGTAGCGAGACATTGTGTATAAAAATTCCCAAAACTCATCCAAGGGCAGAGGCTCCTCAAAGTAGGAGAGTGCTGAATTGAGTGTGGTGACGCTTCTGTCACCTCCCGAGCAAGAGAGGGCTGTGAGCCTGTGAGGCCCTGCAATGAAGGACAGATGTACACACAGAAAACAGAAGTGAGCATGGTGCCCCGATGGGGCTGCTCAAGGCCCCGGCAGAAGGCTGACAGTCAAAGGCAATTTCTTTCATCCCAAGGAGTCTACTCATTGCTGGCTGGTCCCATGGCCAGATGGATTGTCTGGGCTGTTCTGCATGGGAGGAAGTGGGTTAGGGGATCCAGGCTCTCAGCCAGACATACGGAGCTGACATGGGTGGGCAGAGCTGGAGTGGGGAGCAGTCAGGAGTTCCGGGGTGTGGGGAGGTCGATGACTATGGGAGGATTCACAGGCTGATAGTTCACAGTGCACACGGATGCATTCACATAGGTGGTGGTCCCATCTGCCATGACACCATACCCTGGAAAGTAAGAATATACCTGTCAGACCAGGATCTGGAGCTGTCTTGTGACTGTGGTAGCTACATGTGTTCTGCCACCGTGGGCAGGACATGTCTGGGGCAAGCTGCGGCAGCTCTCAGACTTGGGGGTCTTATCTGCTAAATGGAAATGATAGTAAGAGGGTTCTTCTGAGCCTTCCAGGAGGACCATCTGAGGTCACCATCCATGTGCAGTTCTTAGGCCAGTGTTCGTCACAGGAAAAGCACATAGTAAGTAAGTCACTGTTATCATCCTCATGTTGTGTTTCTCATCATCAATATCATCCACCGTGGTGTCACGAGTGTGGTCCCTATGAGCACTGTCAGCATCATCATATCATCAGATGTGATCAAGTATATTCACCTGATTTCCATAGTCCCCAATATCACAGTATCATTGAATGTGATCAGGTGTGTTCAGATGCTATGTCCGTAGGCTGCATTACCATATCATCATCATAGTCACCATCACCATCCCATCACTGTCATCATCCCCATGACCACCACCATCAGCATCACCAAAAGCAGCCAAATTATCATCAGCATCACAATCCTTGCCGTCATCCGTACCGCAACCATCATTACCATGACATCTCCCGACCAACAACATCACCAGCATCAGTGTCATTATCATCAACACCACTGCCATCTTTGTCACTATCCCATCACTGTCTCCACCCCCATGACCATTATCAGCACTGCCCCCCAGACTACATCACTACCATCTTTGTTGCTGTCCCCAGCACTGCCATTATCACCACGACAGCCGCATCTTCACAATGAATGATCTCCTCCTCTTTAGCCCCTTCCCTATCCACATGATCATCACCATCACATGACCATCATCGTCGACACCGTCAATACTGTCACTCTCGTCGTTATAATCGCCATGGTATTACCACCACCGCTAACACCGTCGTCATTGCCCCGTCATGACATCACCACCATCCTCACCATCTTCAGTGTCACTACCACTGCCATCTTTGTCCCCACTAGCATCACCACTGAGAGCCTCACCATCCTCTCTGTTGTCCCCACAAGCACCACAGTTACCATTGTCACATTCCTGTCTTCCAACCACACGCCTTCCCCCTGCCACCTCTGCTTATTGAACTCCCTTCTAGCTCAGTCTGTCTTCACAGCATAAGGGACACTTGTGGCGCCCGCACCATGAGCAAGTCTAACGTATGAGGCGAAAGCCTGGAGGTTTAAATAAAAGACGAGATGTCCAGCCATTTGTGCCACGAGAATGTATGTGCACCTTATTTCAAGAAGGGAGCAGCCTTATATACAGGTTTACAGCACAGTGGAAAAACCCCAGGTGTAAGAGCTCGTGTTTTCCTCGTACTAGATGCTGATGCCAGTGGGGCAAGGCTGTAAGCCAGGACTAGAGAACAGGATGCACCTGTGGTTATCAGCTGACATGCAATGCACAGAGATCCGTGGGGGCTGGGACCCAACAAACAACTCTCCCTTTCTTCTCGGGAGCTCCATTTTGCCTATACAAATATGTAGGGGCATGGTTTGGGCCACAGGCAACCTTACATATGTTGGCCCTGCATGCACACAGAAAGGTCCAAGAAGACAGCCACTTTATAAACTCAGGATTCCTGAGCTCCGCCTTTGATTGCCTGGCTGCTGCTCAGCAATCCGGAGCTTCTCCTGAGACAAGTGTGTGGTGCTATCTTGACTGCCAGGGACACCATAGAGACACTCAGGAAATGGCTAGAGTTTGTTTTACTATTAGATGCAGGCAATGTGAAGGCCCAGGAGCCCCGATCCAACCACAGATAGGGTCAGCAAACCAGTAAAATACTCCTGGGACAAGCCTTGTCAGTTCCACCTCAAACAGCCACCGTGGTTCCTGTCAGAGATGGGCCTGTGAGGCCTGGGATAGTCGAGTTAAATGTCTGAGAGCAACAACAGGGCCCCACCTCCCTGACCCTGGGTGGTGCATCAGTTGTTGAGATTAGGCTCCAGGAGAAATGCCTGAGGACTAAGAATGTAAGCTGGTGTGCAGGGCAGTGTGGGTGGTCAGGAATGTGAGCCTCCTGCCCACAGTGTGGATGTCCCTGCCACTCCAGTGAGTTCACCTGCCAGCCAGCCTCCCACGTTCACCCAGGAAGCAAGCATGTGAGGCAGTCTACACATGGACCACGGAAGTGGGCTGTTTCCTGCAAGAAGTCAGGCAGGGAGCTAGTGAGCAGGACTTAGGCAAGGCAAGAAACCCCTCAGAAGGGCCAGTCAGAAGTGAGGTTCCCTCTCCGCCTGCCCACTCACCTTCATGGATGTGGCCAAAGACATGCAGCCGCGGCTGGACTCGCCTCTGGACCGTGTTGAGCAACTCCACACAGCCCACACGCTGCATCTTCTTGGGGACCCAGTCTAGAAAGCCTGCACGGTAAGACAATGAGGTCACTAATGGGGATAGCGGGCATCTGTTAGTGCAGACTCGGTGGGACCTGGAGTCCTATGCTACAGCCCCAATGTAGCAAGCTCCAGAACCCCGTCCTGCCTCTGCCCTTGGAAGGAAGCCCAGTCACAAGGCAGCTCCTGGAGGCTCAGCCTCCCCTCGTTGACAGGGCTGTGATGAACGACTTCATCGTAAGAGCCGAGGGAGGCCAGGCACCTGGGCCCAGGTGCATATAACCACTACACATCTCAGCCTGTGGCTGCTCCAGCAGCCCCGAGGGTTGTTTGTAGCCACCGGTTTCAGAGAAGAACAAACTGAGTCCGTGGTACTCCGGTGGCTGGAAGCAGTGTGGAGCTTCCATAGCCTCAGAGGGAGACTTCTGATTCAGAAACTTTCTCTACCGAACCCCACAGAAGCTGTGGCATATCTCTGTTGGTAGACTGCTTGCCTACCAGACGTGAAGTTCTGAGGCACCGTAGACATGACGGTGCATGGCTGTGCTCCCAGCACAGGGAAGGTGGAGGCAGAAATATGAGTTCAAGGTCATCCTTGGCTATATCAAAGAGTCTGAGGCCAGCCTGGGATACATGAGATTGGGGGAGGGGTGCACAGACGCTTGAAGCTGGCTTCCTTGGCGGAGACATGCTCTCATGGTGCCCGCTGTGTCTGTTGGCCATCAGCCTCCCGGAGCCACCCCATATGGCGTATCATCCTTACACGGCTACACAAACGGAGGATAACTGATGACTCGAGTGAGCAACCAGGTTGCTGTCGGCCCCTCTCTGTGTGGGTGGGTAGGACAAGCTATGGGGCTGCCAGCAAGGGCTGGAGAGCTTCAACCCAGAGCGCCCGGCGAGCTTCGTCAGGAGAGAGGTTCTGAGACACAAACAGCCCGGCAAAGGAAGGAGGAGAGGAGGGGGCAGTGAAGGGAAACAGACACAGGCAGTGGGTGACTGGAGGCCTGGGGTTCGTGGCTGGGGGAGGTCCTAGTCTCTGCAGCACCTAGACCTTGCACAGACTGGCCCATGTCCCTGTGTCTTGGCTTCATCCAACTGTCACAAGTGCTGCTCTAGGAACTGGAGTCACAGGTCCGTCCCTAGCGTGGCAGTGCAGGCTAAGACAGAGCTGGGGCTGGGGGTCTCTAACTGCCCCCTAACTGTAGCTGCCCAGCTGCCTTGGTGACTACAATCTGAATTGAGGCACATTAGCACCTGCTGAGACACCTAGTCCATGGGCATTCCAAAACATGTGCAGTGTGCTTTGGGACTAGGGCAGGGCATCTGGAGAGCAGGAGGCCAAGGACGTAGTTTGGGATAAATGGATGGATGGACAGCTGGGTGAGTGTATGGATAGGTAAATGGATGATTGACAGATGGATAGATGATAGGGAATGGATAGATGATGAGAGATAAAGACTGAGTATGGGTAATGGATGACTGAATAGAGGAAGGATGATGAATGGATGAATTGATAAAATGAATGGAGGATGGATAAATCAATAGAGAATGGATGAAGGATGGGTGGAAGATGGAGGATGGGTGGAGGATTGATGGGTGGAGGATGGATGGATGGATGGATGGATGGATGGATGAGTGGACAGATAGATCAGAAGAGTGGAAGGAGAGGAAGAAACTAAGGAGGGAAGAAAAGAAAGTAAGGGGAGGAGAACAGGAAATAGAGAGGAGGAGGAGAAAGAAGGCTGCAGAACCCACACAGCTCAGATGAAACTGAAGGACCTGGCCCATTGGCCTGGAGGCCCTGTGGGAGAGGGGCACAATCCTGGTCAATATTGTGTGCTGTCCCAGCAGAGGCTTGGGAATAGAGCATCCTCCATTGAAAGTGGAGCAGGAACAGGTGCCTAAGATTGGAGAGCAGTGAGGAGGCCACAGTAGTCAAGACAAGATACAGGCCCGGAGGACCGACAGCATCATCAGAGAAAAGAGGAAGGAACTGGAGTCAGGTTAGAAGGGAAGGAGAAGGGACGAGCTGGGGCATGTTGTAGGGCTCCAGACAGGAAGCCAGTGGATCCTAGAAGTGGTAGCAGGTGAGCAGCAGCAGCAGCAATATTGGGAGGTGGCACCATCAGCCCTGGGGACATTGACTAGGTAAGGATGGCACCCCAGCAAGTTAGACCTAGCTGACCAGCCCCAGACACAGGACACTCCATCGTCAAGGCCCCCAGTCCATCCTGGGCAGTTGAACCAGAGACCAATTTCTTACCCAGTGGTGGTCCATGAGTTATAAGGACATCAACACCTTCCGGGATGAGGTTCCACTTCTCCAGCAACGCTTGGCCTCGCGGGAGGTTGAACCCCCAGCCGTAGAACCAGGGCTGCCTAGGAGAGAAGAAGGGCACTTTAGGGAGGGTCTCGAGAGAAGGGTACAGGTCGCAGGGACAAGCAGCCATGAGGACTAACTTGGCACCTGGAAGCTCAGTCAAAATGACACTTGGCGATGTTTCGAGGACTTCTGCAAGAAGAGCGACTAGCTGCTGTCAGTGGACCTGCTCCTGTCCTGCCGAGGTGAGGCAGACTCCAGGAGCAGCCAGGGAGTGCAGGTAGCCCCCTAATTTGCCTACCAGCACACGTTGCCTGGCTATTGCTCCTGAGCCCCCACGGCCCCTCGTGTGCCCAAAGTTAGCACCTGAAACCTACCCTTGCCCAACATGGCTGACATCACTGGCTGTCAACCCAAGGGCTCTGCACTGTCGGCAGCCACCAATGTGATTACTTAGGACTCCCAGGGGTGCCACAGAACCCCATGTAAGAACTCCTCGCCCTGTCCTCATGGGCCTCTGAGCTGTGAGGCTGAGGTCTTTGCAGGGTATTTCAGAAGAAGGGAAGGTGCCGGGTGAAACGGGGTCGGTGGAGATGTCACTCTGAGACCTGCTGTTCTCTACAAGCCTGCAGTGCTGGACCTGGGCATAGGAAGGGTGGTGGTCACCCTGCATCATCTGGGGGTCAAAGGTCCCTTTTCTGTGTTAGACACAAGCTCTGGAGCAGATAAATACTGTGTGAATGAGGGCCCTCTGGTCGCTGTGGTCAGGACACTATGCTCTGGTCACTGTGGTCAGAATACTGTGCTCTGGTCACTGTGGTCAAGGCACTGTGTTCTGGTTGCTGTGGTCAGGAAACTGTGGTCAGGACACTGTGGTCAGGACACTGAGCAGACCTAGTATCATAGCCAGGCAGTGCACACTAGCCACCACTACCCAGTCCTGACTCCTAATCCCCAGAATTTAGAGGCAGCTGTGGCTCTGCCTGATTCCTCTACCCACTGGAGTGGGCTCCACAACTTCCGTGGAGGAGGTGGCCCTGTCCACTAGAGGTCATGATTCTCACTCCAGGTAGACGAGAGGAGAACCAGGGATCATGGCCCAGGTACAGAACGGCCACCTGTCTCACAGGATCCCACACGGGGCAGTGTCCGCTGGGGACAGTGGTTAGACTGGGATTGGCTATTGGAAGAGCAGCACAGGGCAGAGGTGGCCCTGTCAGACGCCTCTTCCCTCAGACATGCTTACTCAGACCGGCTCCTCTCCATCCGCAGAGGGCTACGCGCTCTTCTGAAAGAAATTGACGTGCACACACATACGTGTACACTCAAGCATGCGCACACATGTGCTTTACACACAACTCCTAGGGTGCCCTGGAGCCAAACTGACTGAGGTTAGAATGGTCCACCATTTGCCACCTATGCTGACCGCGACTGGCAAACACCTGACTCCTCCGGAGCTCTGTGCCTGGAGTTCTCTGAGAAATGGAGGTGGCTCTGTCTCCTCCACAGGGAGAACTCAATTCTCTGCCCCGGCACCACCATCCTCATCCCTTGTCACCATCACCGCCGCCATTTGTCACATGCACGTCACCACACCGTCACCCTCCCTGGCACCAGCGTCACTCTCACCTTCCCCTCACCGTGACGCCTCTGTCACCACCTCCATCCCCACCGCCACCTCCATCATCCCCACCGCCACCTCCATCCCCACCACCACCTCCATCCCCACCGCCACCTCCATCCCCACCGCCATCTCCATCGTCCCCACTGCCACCTCCATCCCCACCACCACCTCCATCCCCACCGCCACCTCCATCCCCACCGCCACCTCCATCGTCCCCACCGCCACCTCCATCGTCCCCACTGCCACCTCCATCCCCACCACCACCTCCATCCCCACCGCCACCTCCATCGTCCCCACCGCCACCTCCATCCCCACCGCCACCTCCATCGTCCCCACCGCCACCTCCACACAATTGTCACCATTATTGCCCCTCCTCCACCATCAGCCTCAGCTCCATCGCCTCCATCATCACTTCTCATTAAAGCCACCAACATCACGTCCCTACCACGTCTACTACCACCGTTGTCACCATCAAACCCGTCTGTCACCACGGACTGCTCCTAAAAGCCGTCTACAAAGCCTGGGTGTGAAGATTTATATAGGGGAGGGTTTTTTATTGGACTTCTGATGGCTGACAAGCGCATTTCTAAAGGGGAAGCAGGATAGGAGACCTCAGAGAACCTGAGAGCAAGACGCCCCCCCTCCCCAAGTCACACACCTGGTCACAAGGTAAGGGTCCTTTTCTGTCATGACTCTGGTTGGCACCGGCAGCCCCTCTCTACCAACTCCAAGGGCTGTGCGGTTTCTGAATCACTGTCTAGGATGCTCAGAACTGTGCAGCTGAGAGGGCGGAAGGGGGTCAGAAAGGCCACCGCATCCCGGAAATCACTCAGTGTCCTGCCCGCACTCAGAACGCCAAACAGTTTATGACTGGTGCTGTCTTCCAAACACAGGTTTCAGTTCTCAAAAATCAAATATTTACAGCCGGGCGGTGGTGGCACCCGCCTTTAATCCCAGCACTCAGGAGGCAGAGGCAGGCGGATCTCTGTGAGTTCGAGGCTAGGCTGGACCGACAACCTCCAAAACAATACAGAGAAACCCTGTCTCGTAAAAACCAAAAAAAAAAAAAAATCAAATATTTACACGGAAGGACAAGGCCTCATCAGTATGGAGAAGAGGTACCCTGTTAGTGTTAGTTCTCCCGAACCACTGCGGGGTAGCTTTGAGAAGCACAGCAGATATCCCGTGGACCCCAGAAGCCAGCCCAGGCCACCCCTGCCTGCCAGCCTCCCCTCACCTGGCACCACAGAGCCTTGCCCTGGAGCAAAAATTGGACACCGACTCTCATGGGGATGCCTAGAGGAGCCATTCCACACTCCAGGACCACACAGCACTCCGAGGACAGGAGTCAGCAGGACCTCAGTTGTTGGAAGTCTGGGGGCTGCCCCGCCCCCCTCTAGCAGGTTAGAATGTCATCCAAGCAGGGTCAAGCTGACTCTGCCCCCGACTGGCCCTTTACCTGTCCCAGGCTGGACCGTTAAGGCCAGCTGCTGTGTCCTGCTCAGAGCAACAGGGAGGAAGAGGGCTGACAAGGGGATGGCTGGAGACTTTAGGGCAATATTTTTGCACACAGGCAATGCCCCGACGCCATTGTCTACCATTAGCATTGGGGAGCAGAGGGAGGCACAGCCTGCAGGGAAACTTCTGGAAGATATTTCTGAGGTGGTTCCAGTGAGGGCTTTTGCTGCTGACCCAGGAGACAAAGGAAAGAGCATCTCCGGTGTACACACAGTCTACACTGGAGCCTCCTGGGGTGCTGTTTGGGGGTGCACTGACCCTCTGTCTCCAGTGAAGCCTAGCACTTTGAACAGCTCAGTGACCAGCTCTCTCCCCCATGAAGGACATACCCACACTGCCCTGGTCCTCACTGCCATCCGACTTTGGAATACCCCCCACTAATGCTCAAGCCATGACACTGGGGTGCCCAAGAGCCCCTGCACCAGCTTCCATCACAACCTAACACCTGGGCCTGGTGCCACCTCCAGCTCCACCTGCCACTGGCCTCACCATCCGAGGCACCTCATGGCCGTGGAGGGTGGCCCATCAGAATTCCGGCTGAGCCGAAGGCGGCTTTATGTCCTGAATCTCTGTCTTTCTCTTCTAAAGTAACCATTGGAATAATTTTCTTACAGAATGATAGTTGCCATGACAACCAGAGCAAATTTTCCTTTTCTGAAACAGATGTCTCATTTAGTTGAAAATTAGAATGTGAGCAAACCCATGGGAAAAATTAATTCAAACTTTAACAGAGCGCTGAATACAACGTAATCTCCCTGAGGTTAACCCCTTAACAGCTTTTCTGTGTGCTTCTGCTAACCTTCAGATCAAGCCTAATTAGGCCCGCTTAGCCAATATAAATGACCTCATCGTGGCCTATCATTACGGGGTCCCCCTGAAGCGTGAGGTTGGGCTCCCTGATAGCTGATGGGCTGCCAACACTCATCTACAGCAAGCAGCTGAAGCAGAGACTGCCCCGTTTCTACTTCTCCAGGGCAGGCATTCAGTCCCGGTGTGGGCATGTTCCCTAGGGTTCAGCTGAGGCAGAGTGACCCCTGGCTGAACCCCTGGCCTGGGTCTGGAGTATAGGACGGTGGAGGCCCCAGGTGCTCCTGAACACTGAGGGGAACCCACAGAGGGGGAGCTCAGGGGGCTTTCAGTCTTCACATTTATCCGGGGAAGTGTTTGCCACCATGGCTGCCACAGACACAGAAACTGGGGTGCAGAGCCATACCCGCGTGACATAGTCCAGAGCCAGGCTCCCTCTTCCAACCCAAAATGATAAAAATGCCGCCTTTGTACATTATCACCCCACATTCAGTTGCTCAGCGAACCATGGGGGTGAAACTGCTGGGAAGTCCCCATTTAGGCCCAAGGAAGTGTTGACACAGAGAAGGCATGTGGCATGTCTGAGGATGTGCCATGGGAGCAGAAAGGACTTGGGCCAGGACCCTGGGGTGGCCAGGCACCAGCTCCCTCTTCACAGGAGCCTCTGCCTGAACAGCTCCCACGGCCCCCTGGAGCCTTCAGCCTGGCTGAACAGCTAAGACTAGCCTGAGTTCTGCACAGGCTCCCTGTGACTCCTCCAAATCTCCCCATGGCTCCCCACTGCCTCCAGGACACAGTCCGCATGGCACACAGGGCCCATGGACTCAGACAAGCCGGTCCAGGGTCCCATGAGGTTCCCCCGACAGCCTTGACTGTCACTCTGTAAGTGGCTGTACCTGTCCCTCTCTCAGGCTTTGTCTCCTGCTAATCCCATATGGGAGATCCTTTCCAACTTCTCCCTCCTTAGGCCAGGTCCCCCTCCCCGCCTTCATGGTCTGCTGTCTCCAGCACAGGTCCAGAGGGCTGGGCCTGGGTGGCCCTTAGGGAAGGTCTGTTCAAGGACTACATGAATGAAAGATGAGCGAAACTGGAATAAGCCAGCAGCTGTTC